GCACCCACATGGCAGCTAACAACTGTCCATAACTCCAGTCCCAGGGGATCCGACAGCCTCTTCTGTCTTCCTTGGGCATTGCACAACATGGGTGCACTTACCTACATGCAGGCAATACACACATACACATAAAATAAAAATAATAAAATGTTTTTCAATGCTGGTGCTTTGCAAAACATCATGTAATGTCCTAAATTCTCTCAGTTGACATATCTGAGTCCCTTCACATGCATCTTGGTGACTGAATATGTGGACTGAGAGGTTTAGAAAAATTCAGAGTATCTCAGCTTGCATTGAGTCACATGCTCTGTTACTTAGAAAAAGTTCAGTCTCCTGACTGCTTGAAAAGCAGTGCTAATTCCTCCTCACTGTGTCTGTTAACATAAATTGTCCAGCTCCAAACTTCTCAGCTTTCGTAAATGGCAGGCCTGATTCATGCATGATTTATCAATTTTAGCCGTGGGCCATTAAGATAGATTTCTCAGCTTCAGGTAGGATGCAGTGGCCTTGTATAGGGTTGGTTTTGAATTTCTTGAGCAGCACGGTAGTTGACAACCCAAAGAATACAACCTCCGTTTGCCCTTGTGGAAGGCTTTTGTGATTTTAAGTGAGATTTTTTTTCTTCTATTTTCTTCTCCTTTTGGAGCTTTGCCTTGGTAAAAAAAAAAAAAAAAAAAAAAAAAAAAGATTACATTTATGATGAGCTGGGCATGATTGTGCACGCCTAAAATCTCAGCACTTGGGAGGTAGTAGGCAGATCTCTGAGTTCCAGGCAAGCCACATTTCCTTCTAAATCAGAGTAGTCAGGAGTTGTCGGGGCTGCCTGTCCTCTCTGGAAGAGCTGTTTTCATGTGGAAGACATCTTGCTGCTGCAGACAGATGGGTAGCTATTTCTTGTGACAGTGCCAGCAGCAAGAAACAACTAAGACCCTCACCTGTTGCCTCTGACTTGCTGGTGATTAATGGGAAGATGGTGAGGCTTGGCAGATGCTGGACTTGGGAGTCCTCTTCGTTCCTGTGAGAGAAGAAGCCTGGGTGGAACAGTGTCTTCAGAGCATGCTTCATTGAAGCAAGATTAGCTTTTATGGCTGTGTCACCTCTCGACAGCTTTCTGTGGAGCCTCTCATAGAACAGGCTAGGATTTGATGGCTGGCACCAGAAAGCAAAAGCTAGTGTCTCTCTGTAATCTCTAAGGATCTGCAACGATTCGTGGATCAACAAAGCAATAAGGGCAATGGCAGGGGTCCATAAAATATAGCTCAACTCATGATACTTTAGTTTTAGGATAAGGAGGAGGGTTCATAGAAAACTTAGAGGTCAATCTTGAAAAAAAAAAAAAACCCTGGAAATAGTAAGAAGAAACAGTTTTTCTTTTATAAGAGTTCATAAAGCATAAAAGACAGGGCCTGACTACCCACCTCCTGTACCACCTTCTTTTTGTGGCTTTACCATCGATGCAGTCTGCTGAAATATGTGCCCACGAGGCCTCCTCATTACAGTAGACACTCAGACTGAGAATCATGACTGGATCACATGTCTCTCGGTACACACAGTGGTACAGAAGTGACCTTGTCCTTCTCAGTCTCAATCAATTCTGACTTAAAAGGAAGAAGTGTTTTTAAGTTAAATATATATGCGTTCAATTGTGCTTAACTTTCTCCTCCTTCAAATGAAAACTGAGAGAAAATTTTAAATAATTGGAAGGTGCTACAAATCAGCCTGCCTGCCTGTCTAAGTCAGCCCTGTGTCCTCTGGGAAATTCTGACTCTCAGTGTGTTTAATTGTGGTGACTTTGTTTAGGCCCAAGACAAAGAAACTTGTCAGGTTTCCTTCCCTCCCATCTTATTTACATTCCCCTGTAAAGCCCAAGTAGTTGCTTTAACCCAGTTTGGTTGCTAGCTAAAGGTTAAACTAGTAGTGCGAGCCATCCAGAATGAAATGTTCCCAACACTTTGCTGCTACTGGCCTGGGGTACTAGGCCTTAGACCCAGAAGCAGCCAATTTGGTGGTGTCTTTTAATATACAGAATTGTATTAATGTCAACATGGATACAGATGAATGCTTGGCAATAAACTCTAACCACTTGAGAAAAGCCTTTATTGACTCTCAAGTAAATAATGCACATTTTAAAGGATCTAAATATGCATTTACATAATGTGCTATAATTTTTTATTGTGTCAACTATTCATACCCACTTTCATAAGAGATGCTTTTCTTCATGAAAAATATGGACTCATACCATTCCTTGAGCATTCCATTAGCATCATGCCAGAGTCCTAATGGTAGTTTCTCTTCCATAGAGCTTGCCCTAGCCATCTCCAAGAACATTCAATGAATTTATTGTTTGATTGATTTAGCTACAGTAACTCTTTCTAATATGATTTGAGAGAGCTTCGATAAAAATTTAGATACGCTCAGAATATCTAGCCCAAGGTAGAAGCAGAAAAAAGAAATAGAAAGGAAAGAAGAAAAAGACATCAATGAAATCTTAACTGAACCTTAAAGAGGTTCGGTGTCCAGTAGAGGAAGAAGTTAGCCAGAGAAATAGCATAGCTCTAGTAGCAATCAACAGGTCTTTGTGATGTCTGTAGCAGTTTTCTTTTGAGGAAATTAAAGGCCAGGATCTAGAATGATTTGTATCCGTTTCTACTGCACACTGTGACTCAAACAGAAAGTCCCTAGGCTGAGAAGGAGGCTTGAAGAGGGCAGCCTTGTAAGTGCAGGCTCCGCAGTTATCTGATTTAGAACTTCAGGCTAGATGACTTCCTGGAATTAATTAAGAATTAATTGATCTTTATAAATCAGTCATCACAGAATTAATTCTATACAGTACCATGTAGTCTTAGCTTTGCACTGAATTCTGTACCATAAAGAAAAGGTGAATAAATTGCTATTAGTAAAATTCTTAAAAACCGGTCTACATTTATATTGGTAATGATTTTCTTTTACATAATTAATAAAATAAGTTCAATGATGTTTATACTAATTAATGGAGAGATTGCATGGTACTATTGAATTAGGTTCTTCTATCATGTTTCTTTAACGTTTATCTACTTAATCTTTGCTCAAGCCAGTTTTGTTCCTTGGGCAGCAGACTCTGGAGGCTACCTCCATTGCTTATCTAAAAGTCACTCATCACTTTCTGTGAGTACCTGAGGCAATGCTACTTTATCATCAAGGTCAGTCTCATAAGACTCTTGACAGTGGAGGTGCCACCTTTGTGTTTGACACACTGCAACAGTTGAGTATCATTTTGTTCAGCTCGGTACATTCCCAGCCTACTTTGAGAAATAACACCTCCAATGCTAACTATATATGATTCAATCAAATGCAGGGCTCTGGTCAACGTTTCTTGCTAACCAGCCAAGACATCTGTATCATGTTGGAAGAAAAATTTCCTTTAGTTCTTTAAAGCCAATAGCACAATTTCCAAAGGAAGAGACCAGGGGCATTTAACTCTTTAGCTTATGGGGTTTAATTCTCACACAATAATGGATTCCAAGATATGTGATTCATTGTATACAGTCTCAACTCTCAACTGTTTTTTCTTCCTGACTCTTCAGCAGAGCGTAAACCCATATTTTGTCCCTGCAAATTTACTTGGTTACTTTTCTTAATTTTTGTACTAGGCATTAATTCAGTCATTTATTGTGCAGCACCTATTTCAGTTCAGCTTTGTCTTTTGAACCCATAGTGGAAGCCTGTAAATATTTATTGGATGGATTAAAGTGGCATGAAAGTAATTATTCTTTACCTGATCATCTGCAAGATTCCTGCTTCCACTACAACCTGCATTTCCACCCTATAAACTACAGGGGTTGCTGTGAACCATGCAGTTCTGTTCATTTCAGTCCTTGGTTAGAAAATGTCCCAATATAAGGAGATGCAGTGACCACCAACCAATAGGCATGCCTTCTTAGCCATGCAGTGGAGGAGTAGTCAAAGAGATAGCCTGTTGAACTTTGGATTTTCTCTTCAATATTGTGAATCATGCTTGGTATTCAAAAAGTCTTAGTGTCTAAAAATTGGGGCATTTCTGTGATTTACTTTGTAGAAGCTCCTTCAGTTTAAAGATTTAAACTGCAAAAGGAGGGGGGAAATGTTATCTATACTCTCTAATAGGAGAGATTTTTCTGGCCTGACTGGAGTTGGTTAGAGAATTGCCAACCACCTTCACATATGCTGCCCTTATCCTCCAGCAGGCCATAGCATCTTCTCTCCATCTCAAGGACAAAAGCATTCCTGGGAAAGGTATTAAGCATCTCACTTAAGTTTTTTAATCGATTGTAATTATGTACAAATGCTATTTATCAGGGTTCAAGTATAAAAGAGCCATTGAGTGAGACTCCTCAGATATCCTGCAGGGGAACAAGCTTCAGGCTCTCTGCCTACTCGGTCTGTGGCAGCTTTGGCTTTGAAATGGCAACAGAGAAAAATGTAACATAAATGTTCCACTGTAAAGCGAGGCACCCAAATTGCTTGGGTTCATTAAGTGATCATTTACTACATACTTCAAAAAACTCTCATCTCGAATTAGTCCCTGGAAATTTCCTTGAAAGGGGTATAAGAGCTTTAACAATGAATTATTGTCTATGGATAGCTCAGCATGAAAGGGGATCCATATGTGCAAAGTAGAATTTGTCAAATGTAATGTCAGTTAAATCAGGTCTAATCTACCAAATACATTTTTTATTGCTTGCTTCATTAAAAAGGCTCTTAAGGTAATGAATAATCTTCATCTTCAGTGAGGATTATTAATGCCTTTATAACTCATGTCCACTGAACATAGAGGCAACTTGAAATCCTACACCACTTTAGCCTCCATGTTTGTCTTAGAGCCTTAAAGAAGAAAATCTATCAAACCTACCCAGCATTACATCCAGTCTCATAAGCAACACTGTGAACTGTGCCAGAAGAAGAGCCAATAGAGGCTGTTTGGTTCAGCCTGTGGCAAAGCAGGCTCCTTCTCTCCATAACCTCGATGTTTTCTTTTCCTGCAGCAAGTCCGCACGCGACACCATCGACTCTTCACTTTCCAACATCACCCATCATCCAGCAGCCTGGGCCTTACTTCTCACACCCAGCCATCCGCTACCACCCTCAGGAGACGCTGAAAGAGTTTGTCCAGCTTGTCTGCCCTGATGCTGGTCAGCAGGCTGGACAGGTGGGGTTCCTCAATGTAAGGAAACCTCTTTTTTTTTTTCCAATTTCTTCAGTAATGCTAACCGAATGTAAAAATAACAAGGGGCCCTTATGACCACGTGACATTGTGGTCTAATGTCCTGCTGACTGACTGCAGGCAATGTCATATTTATTCTAGATTGTGGGAAAGTTAACTTGCTATAAGAGTGATTGGCCAGGGTTTAAAAACAGTGTTTGTGTTAAGTTTGCAACTGTCAAGCTTATGGATATAAATTGTCTCGGGGTGAACGATGTAACCTTTCTAAGTTCTGTGGACTGAGAGTTCCACCTCCTGCATTCTAACCCCAGGACTCACACAGTTAACAAAATAGACTGAATAATTTTAAATAATGATTTGGGGTAGGAGAGAGAGGTAGGGGGCAGATAGGGACAGATGTTTCAGATCAACCAAGTTGATGTTTTTTAAAAATACAGTCTTCTAACACTTTAGATCAAGTTGACCAATACTTGAACTCAAGATGCTAGAAGCACAGTTTATTATGGTTTGTTATTTCTGAAAGTAGTTATCTTTCCCACTTATCTTTGTACAAAATTAAACCATATTCAATAACTACAAATGAATGTTTTCAATTTTCTAAAGTAAGCCAAATAATCACAATTTGAAATAGCATTCAACTGTAAAAATTATTTTTTTAAATCACAAATTTTATTACAAATGAACTGTATGTTTACAATGGATAGCTGTATCCCGAGGCCAATAACAATAATAATAATAATACACTGTGACTGGTACAAAGCCAAATTTGGTTTTCCTTTTCTCATAATAACTGTTCATAAAACCACAGATTAGCCATAATTATTATTGCCTGGTTTAGGATGTTGTCACACTGTCCTGTCCCTGGGTTTTCTCCCTTGCAGAAAGACCTGATTCTGCAGATCTGAACCAGAGCAGGCAGAGTTGACTAATGTCTGGTGATATGTTCACAGATACATTTCTGTCTAGACAACAAATCAATATGGTGCCTTTTTTCATTTTGTTTGTGTATTCATTTGCTTGGTATATTCTAAAGTGTTCACTTACGGACTTTCAGCCCAATCAGAAATAACACACCGGAAAGGGTACTGGTGAGAACGCACAGCTTTCTGATCATCAGACAGATACCATCTGAGGAATAATACTAAATATCCCAGTGCACGCTGTTGGGGAGTGATCCTGCTTCTGCAGAATTACAAAGTTTATTCTTAAAAGCCCAATACATCAGTATCTCCTTTGACTGAGTTTTGGTTTGGGACTGCAGCCTTAGTACAAGCTGCTGCTGGTTGAAACTCAGTGCAAGAAGCAACTTGGGAAACCCTGAAAACTCAGGAGCACTGAGTGTCTGACTTCCGAACTTCTAATATAGTTTTCACGAGTCCTGACATCATCCTGTCAGATACCTGTCAAATGCCTCATTTCCCATTTTGATCACAGTTTTACAGGGCTTGGAGCAGTTCTCTTCATCAAATTATTTTGAAACACTTGAAAATAAATGTATTGCATTGTTCTCTTCAGAGGGAATCTTGCTTTTGTTAGAGAGCTGATATTTGGTGGTTCTAACATCAGGCAGCCAAACAAGTATGACTCGCATGGCATCTGCGTATACGAGTCAAAATTAGAAGTGATATTTTTGCCTAGTAGAATTCTGATAGCTAAATTCTAAAGTTTCTATGCCTGATGTTATACAATATGTGAAAGAAAACATTTATGTTCATTGAATACATTTATGAACTATTATATAAAGATCAAGTTTGAAAAGTAAAACTAAAATATCTTTTTATACACTGGGCATGGTGGCACATTCCTTGAATCCCAGCCCTCAGGAGGCAGAGGCAGGCAGACCTCTGTGAGGCCACCCTGGTCCACATCATAACTTCCAGGTGGTCTGTGAGTAGGGAGACCCTATCAAAAAAAAATCTTTTTATATTGAGTGCATATTTAGGAAACTTCATTTTACCTATATAAACACACATGGCAGAATAATGTCTCAATCTGTAAGTACCTGAATATAAAGCAAACATTTAATAATCATGAGAATAACTGGAAACAGCAGTTAACACGGAGCTAAGACAATCCAAGCAAAAGATGGTTTTTCAGGTGACAAATTCAAAATGATCCTGGTTACAACACACTGGGGAACAGATGCAATGAAAGGTCAATGTGGTTCAGGCAGCTAGAACATTAGTAATTTGCATAACAGGTACGTAATGGAGCTCTCCTTTTCAGAAGCAGCTAATGGTTAACATCTGTTTCTTCTTGTGTGTGTTTTCTCCGCACCCTTGCAGCCCAACGGGAGTAGTCAAGGCAAGGTGCACAACCCATTCCTCCCCACCCCCATGTTGCCGCCGCCGCCGCCACCACCGATGGCCAGGCCTGTGCCTCTGCCCGTGCCAGACACCAAGCCTCCAACCACGTCAACAGAAGGAGGTGCAGCCTCCCCCACCTCACCAAGTACGTATGGCTGAGACAGGCGCCGGTCACTTATGAAGCTGTGCACTGAGTCCACACCTAAGCTCTGTCCCTCACTGTACGGGCTCTAGAGATAGGCACAGATCCACTGTTATACTATTAGCATGAGCTTGCAGAACTCAGGCCCTAATCAAAGTGAACACCTCTCCCATGTACTGTCAAACTACACCATATGTAAAAACACCTGAGTGTTGGGGGAGATTAAAATGCCTCAACTACATGCCAAGGACTGAGATCAAGATACAAACTTTTAAAATTTGTATATTCCTGAAGTGGCTTAGAATGTTATCCCCATGATAATCAATAAGCATCTACGTGAATACATTCTTTTTTATTGTTAAGTGCATGGGTGTTTGCCTGCATGTGTGTAAGTGTATCTGTGTCATGCAGTGCCCCCTGAGGTCAGAAGAGGGCATCAGATTCCCTGAAACCAGGGTTACAGATGGTTGTAGCCACCATGTAGGTGCTGGGAACTGAACCCATGTTCTCTGCGAGAGCAGCCAATGCTTTTAACTGCTGAGCCATCTCACCAGCCCTTGAGTACATTCTTAACAGCAAAAATTCAGATTCTTCTCCCTTAAGAACTAGATGAGATACAAAAGTGATATACCCGATACATGAAATGGAAAAAGTCCTAGATCAAAAGCATCCATTCAAAAGTGTGTACATTGAAGGCTGCTGGGATAAGAAGGGTCTGACAGAAGATCAGAGCTAGTAACCATGGTAGTTGTACAACTAGGCTTAGCAAGGGAAGGAAGTAGAGGGTGGGATTAGATGAGGAGAGAAAGGGCCTCTTGGCTCTTCTTTGAACAGTCTGGGAGCATTTGATCTGAAAATACAGGATTTTGAAATCTTTTTAATCTTTTATATATTTTTATTTTATGTATATGAGTGTTTTGCCTGTATATATGTAAGTGCACCCATGTCATGCAATGTCCATAGAGGCTAAAAGAAGGGTTTTTGATTTCCTGGAGTTAAGAGCAATTGTTAGCCACCATGTGGGTGTTGGGAACTGAACCCAGGTCTTCTGCAAGAGCAGCCAATGCTCTTAATCATTGAGCCATCTCTCCAGCCCCTTGAAATCTTTTATATGATGGGAAGGATTGTTTGATGAATTAGACAGTGAACAATTCACCAGATATTTCTTGATATTTTAGAAATGTCAGTACTAGAAATAGATTTAACACAAAGATGTGGCTTTTTTAGTACCTGCAATAATGGCAGAAAATGATAGCTTGGCAGATGGTACTATGAGTCCTTCTCTAATGCTTGAGGGAAGGTCAAGGTGTAGGAATGGATGAGAGCTGTGGCATGGGCCCTAGGGAGAACTTTCCAGGGTATCTTTGAAGGAAATAGGACTGAGGGAAAAATGTTAGAACAGATTGGGAAAGGAGTTTTAAATTCAAGAACTGGAAGATCAGTAATAACAGTTGAATGGAAGGAGCAGTTGGAGGGATGTTTTGTAAATATAAATAAGCATTTAGATAAACACAGTGAATGAAGATTCTAGGCCTCTTGACTTTCTTACATTCAATATTGTCATTAGTGATACATACAGGAGAGAAAGCATCAAAGGGGAAAGACAGTCCTCTGCTTACATCATATCCACTGGGATTGATTCTGGGAATACTGACTCCAAAATGGCTTACATCTCCCTTGAAACAGATCAGAGAGGGGACATTGCATTATTAGTATTTATATATTTGGGTGAGTAACATTGTGTATAAATTCTGTAGCAAAAAGATGGAGGGTCTAAGGGCAATTTAGGGAGGCCAGTTTCTTTTGCTAAGAGGTGGTTCAGCTCACAGCCAAGGAGAAGACCTGTAGGATCTAAGGGAAGGAAGATGCTTGGCAGGAGTAACATGCTGGTGTGTGATGAGAAGGTGGGACTTCTTCTCAGAAGCCAGCTGGGAGGAATGGTTCTAAGATTGGCATAACTGCTGGATAAAAATTTAAGGCAAAATTATGGTTTCTTAAATCATGTGCTTTCTTAGAAATTAAAATCACAAAATGATTGGGTCGATTTATCTTTATCAGTCTATTAGCGCTCAACTTTAGCAAGAAGAAACATCAGGCAGGGTATTAAGTATGGATGTTCAACATCCCAACAGTGTGTCCAAAACTGAAGCCTGTTTCAAGAACATTGATCATGTATCTTTTCTGTTTAGGGGTCTGGGATTTCTTGTAATAAAATAAGATGTTAAAAATCACAACAGGAAATCATGCCAAGGGTCTCCTCTATTACCACCTCTTGGGGGTCTTGGCTCCCTTTCTACTCATGGGAATCACACTGCCCCTCTGTCCACTCACAGCAGGTCAGCAGGAGGAAGGAGGATAATGGATGTGCCGTGCTACATACAAAAAGCCAAGGCATCGTTTTTAATAAACTCTTATAATGAAATACAAATGGATGCCAGCCTAGAGCAGAGTGTGTATTTCTTAACTAATCAGTCGCCTCTGGCACTAATACTAAACTTTGCAGCTGTGGCCAGAAAGCAGGGGAAAGGCAGATCTGGAAAAAAAGAAATATTGCCTATGAAATAAATACATTTTAATGGGAAAAATCCTTACCCATGTCCTAAAACTCAGAGAAGAGGGAGTGGGGAGAGCATTTTACTCTGTCCCAAAGAGAACTTTTAGATGTTGATGTTTGAAGAACAATTGATATGCTATAGCAGGACTCTCTAGGACATCATGACAAATAAGAGGCTCAGCCTGTGAGAGTTGTTCACACAGTATGTTCTCTGCTCAGATTAACTGCTGGTATGGGTTTCCATCCCATGAGAGAACACATCTCCCATTCATATTTATCGAGCATATTCATGGAGCATCAGCCATGTGCCAAAAAACTCCTAGATGATAAGCTTCGGCAGGGAATAAAAGTGATTTTTAAAAATCCTGAATTTATGGAGATTTTATTCTGGAGGGGGGAGAGAAAGAGAGAGAGAGACAAAGCGAGAGTGAGCAAGGGAGGGAATACAGAGGGATGTAAGACAGAGATACCTAAGTATGCAAAAACATGATGCGCAAAAGAATAAGGAGCAGTGAGGGTGGGATAGCCTGCTTTCAGGGAGCAAGGGTCCACCAACCCTTTGATAGGAACATTAGAGCAAGGCCAGGATGGGATGTGGAGACCAGATAGACGACTGGTAGACAGAAGGCTCAGCCAGTCAAAGGCAGCCTGATGAGTTTGAGGAAGGTGAGGACGATGAGAGAGAGAAGGTTTGAGGCTGGGTCAGAGAGGTAATAGCAATGGATTGAGGCCTTGGGAGCATGGACTTTGATGTTCCAAGTGACACTGGGAGCAGAGAACTGGTTCCTAAAAGCCTGGGTTTTAGTAGAAATGCTTGGAAGGCTTTGTTGAAATAGACTGCCAGGGGCAAGAACAAAAGCAGGGACACAATAGATAAAATGGATGTCCTGTACACGCCAGCCACTGTTCTGGACACAGGAGTACCAAAGGAAATGAGACAGACAAGAGCTTTGTCCTTCTAGAGCATGCATTCTAGTTGGAGGGAGAAAACAAAACGTAAGTGAGTTAGGAAACTCGGGACCAGTAGAGAGCAATTGAGAAAGCAGAATCAGAAGAGGGTGGAAGGGATGGAGAAGATGGCATGGCAATCACCCAAGCAGGAGATGCTGATGCCCTGACCTGGGAATAGGGGCCAGTAGGGGTGTGAGAGGTGCCTGGATTCCAGATATATTCTAAAGGTGCAGTTAGTAAGATTTGCTGATGCGTTTAATGTAGATTGCAAAAGAGAAATCAGTAATGACCTCAAGGTTTCTTAGCCCAAGCACCTGAAAAGATGGAGTTGCCATTAACTGAGGTAGGAAGATTATAGAAGTCGTTCTGTGTGAGGGGTAGAGACCAGAAGTTTGGGTTGGCCAGGTTCTGTTTGAGATTGCCCATTAGATCTCCCAGTGCTCAGGCTAAGCAGAACTTAGTGGTGGCAGTCACTGAGTTGTTCTGGGTACATTTTGTTAGTAGGGAAGAGACTCCTTTCCAAACATAGAGTTAACATAAGAGCTTTCTGAGAGTCCTAAGCTCCAGAGCAGGAGGAAGCCTGCGTTCTGTTTGGTTCTGTGTGCGACATGAAAGTTCAAAGTATGCTAGCCTTTGTGTTAGTCACACTGCAAGGCCCAGTGTTCATGTAATAGATTGGACTCTTTTCCATGTTTTTTCTGGAGCAAAGATTGGCATCCTAGTGTGAAATTATAATGCAAAGAACAAAACACTTTTCAATTATGATAGGAGATAAAAATATGCATATTTTCCTTGTTAATTAATTAGGAACACAAAAATCAATTTAAAATGCATAAAAAACTCAAACATTTTCTCTATTTCTTCTAGTTAATTTTTTTATTTTTTAAAAAACTAGAATTCTGTTAACATAGAAGCATATAACAAGTTAGCTTTATTTTTATGTCTCAGATGAATCTTGTATATATTCATTCTATAAATGAATATGAAACTATAACCAAGAATGTTAACAATAATCTATCACTGGAATAGAACCTTTTTAAGTCAAACAGTTAGCATATGTTCCATGCCTTTTGGTGAACAAAGCTCTTAACGTCTGTATATTACCTTATTCCACCTTCCTACTCCTGTGAAGCCAGGACTTCAGAGACAGACACTGAGATGAGAAAATGAAGCCTACCTTACTCAGCCCGATGCTTTCCTTGTGGTGGGGTGGGGTTTCCCACACAAACCTCCCACTCTTCATCCTCCCTTGACTGTAACTGGACAGCTTACAACGCAGTGAGCCTGCACTGAAGCGCTGCGCTTTTACCAGCGTGCACAGCAGGTTAAAGAATGTCTTCATAGGTTTTACCTCACATCACCCCATATTAACTCTACGAAGGAAATTCTATCGTTAAGCTAATAGAAAAAGGTAAGACATAGAGGGAAAAGGTAACTTTTTAAAGGCCACTGACAGCTGCTGTAGAAACATCATTCACACCCAGCCACCTTGACCCTG